CCTTTTCTCGGCCTGGGACCTGTTCATATACGTTCTTGGCAGATTATCCAGAAGTGGTTTGCCATTGCCTTCTTCTGTGTGTGAATGGAGTAATTGTTGGGATGCCACGGAGGAAAACTCCGTGTTGCCTAGACCACGGCCTTGCCCAACACAAATTAAAAAATTCGGGCACCGCCAGGAATCGAACCCGAGACCCCAGGATTTCAAGACCAGCGTTCTAACCGCTAGACCACCGTGGCGGTAGTAGTGATTGTACGACCAGGACAACAATTATTACTTCCGTCTTAGATGTTCACGCGACCGCATTGTTGGTAGCCAACATTTCAGCAAATTAACAAGCAGTCTGCAAAGTTTGGACAAGTTTAATGAGATCAGTCATTGTTTTCAAAAGTTATTTGTAGACACACGTACTATTTCGTCATGATGTTGGATAGAGTACGTTAAAACGTGGATAGCAATAATCTGTAACAATGTCACATGAGACTTGCTCGTTCGAACAGAAAATTATATTTTGTGAGGTTATGACATCCTCGTTGCAATTGTACAGTAATGAAGGTTCCTAAAATCTGCCTGATTTTTCTAGGCCTTATGTCTGTGTTGCACGGGCCTATAAAATTAGTTCTATAACAAGATTTCTGATGGAGCTAACAAGTGGGGGAGACAGCGGGGCTCCGCTCTCTCGGTAATCAACTAGAAAAGCAAAATAAATATGTAAGGGAAAATTTAATTTCTCGCAATCAAAGATTCCTCATTCAGGATTAGTACACGAGAAATTGAAGGAAAAATGAAATTTAGTTGATCGTAAAATTGCTCACGGAGTTTGAAACGAACCCTATTATGAAAACGGTTAGCTGGAACCGTGAATTTTCTGCTGGTCGGTTCTGAAAATTAATTGTATTTGTATATGTGGTTATTGCGCGATTTTGGAGTTGTATAATCAAAGTTAATTATGACTAGAATTCATAAACTTAATTGAAAGGCTGACGGATGTTCGCAGGTCGAATACAAAGCAGCTACAAATTACATTCAGAACATTCTGGCTGGAACACCGAACACAAATTGAAGCACATCGCAAGGCTCCACTTATTCGCCGTGGTTTCTCTCTTTGTCGCAACGCGTGCAGCGACTCTGGGGTCGAGCCAGTCCGCCAATCACAGAGCGTCCGAGTTCTTTTCGGATCTTATTACGTGTCAGGGTTGAACTCTCTTGGAGTGGAAGTTTTATTTTACTCATTAATAATAAACAGTTTTTGAACAAACTATGATGAACGCATTAAATATTTCCTTTAGTTTTTAATATTGTTTTTAGAAAACACGTCAGATGCCCTTAAACTGTATAATCCTTGCTTTACTGTCAAATTTCAATTTAATATTATAATTTTACAAAAAAAATTTACAGATTTTTAAGGTCGATTTATTAAGTCTACGGCTAAATTCTCTTATAATAAATTCTCCTTCTACCGTAAACTTGTGAAAGTAATAATTAAGTGCTAAGGGACTTCAATTTCTAAAATTTATTGTCGAAAATCTTAAGCCCCATTCAAAGCTTTTTTTAATGTGCAGCAAATTTTAGGATTTAATCTTAACATTAGCTTCTACCTCAGACCGCTCCTCATGATGCTATAAAATGTTTGTGGCCATCGAAATTACTTGGACATCGTGGCATACCGAGTTTTGTGGTTATGGTTGTTCTGTACTTTAATTTATTTTTAATCTTTCCTTTGGATTAAAACAAAGTAGCGAGGTTAATTTTAGAGTCTTATAATATGAGATTCTAGTCCTTATTCGTCAGATAGAAGGGATAACCACTTGCTGTTTCTCCAGTCACATAAAATTTTCTCCGGGCATGGAAAACGACGATCTGTTTAACCGATAATTCCACATTGCCGGCATAAAGGTTCATGCCTGTGCCGCTCGACTAGCAAGCGCTGCTATCCAGTGCGGACTATTGCGACTCCAATGAAAGCAGCCACGTTAGTGATCTCTCTAGCTTCATGGT